ACTATATTATTCTTGTGGTTGATTGAAGGGCCCTTCAATCAGCTGTGCCTATTTAGTATGTATTACTCGGGAGAGAGTGCATATTTAGGTAGTTGTTGAACAACATCACTCCTAAACGTATATGAGGGATCAATACGGAGGTTTAAAGGTAGGATTAGGGATAACGAAACCTTGGTGCGATATGAGTGAGCTGTACTTAATGCCAGCTAGTGTAATTCGGGAGAATATATCTAGTAAATTGTGGTGATTACTCGGGAGAGAGTTACGACAGTTAGAGTGCTCATGATCGGTAGAGAAGACTTAGGCAAATTTATAGGAAACGTAGCGGAAAGGATTCCGACAATAGGGGAAATCACAACCTTAGATCATTCCAATTCTTGTTTACAAGCTGTTCGTAGTTAGTTGTTAATTATTACATTTTCATTACGTAATAATTAGTTAATAAAACCCAATATGTTACTTAAATATTTCTGAAGATTGATTGTGTGAATTTGTGCGAGTTTAGTAGCTGTGTTTGATAGGTTAATTCCTTGTGGGATTCGACTCCGGACTTATTAGCCGGAATATATTTGCAACGATCGCTTAGTCCTTTTTAGAAGGCATAGTTGAGCGTTATCAAATTTTGGCGCCGTTGCCGGGGAGTTAACGGTATTAATTACAGCTAAAAGAAGTGCTAGAATTTTTAGTGTAGTCAATTTTCCCATTTTAAACCAAAGACATTGAAATTTTAACGTTTGTAGTCTTGGGCGTTATAGGTGCATGCCTAGGAATTCCTCAAGAACTAGTGAATTGCTTGAAGCGATATCAGATCCTGAGAAAGTTTTCAAGGCACTAAATCATGCAAACAAGAGAAGCAAACAACAACAAAACTCGAGAGAACAAATCGAACCAAACATGGCGGACGGAATAGAAAATCCAATAAACAACAGAAACAATGAGAATGAACCAAACATTCGGGGTGTGGTGCCTCTTGTACCAGAAACAACATTATATAATTGGGCACAACCCACCGCCTACAATCTAGCAACCGCAATTGCAGTCCCTCAGATACAAGCAGAATCATTCCAAATCACAAATAACATGCTACATTTGTTGCAGAACAAGGGACTGTTCTCAGGGTCACACATTGAAGATCCTCAGCAGCACTTGAAGAATTTCATGTCAATATGTTTAACGCAAAGGCAACCTAACGTAACACTGAATGCAATAAAGCTTTTGTTGTTCCTATTCTCGCTGACAGGAGAAGCTCAGACTTGGCTTAATTCACTCCCCATAAATTCCATCACTACTTGGGAGGAATTAGTCAAGCAATTTTTGAACAAATTCTACCCACCAAATAAAATTGCCCAATAGATTGATGATATATTAAGCTACAGGCATAGATCAACAGAATCACTACAAGAAACATGGGAAAGGTTCAAGGGCATGCTGGTTAAGTGTCCACATCATGGTATTCCAGATCAGATGTTGGGGTAGAGATTCTACATGGGACTGACAGACAGCTTAAAGGCCAATGTTGATGCTTCAGCAGGTGGAGCATTTCTGAGTAAAACATTCCCAGAATGCAAGATCCTACTTGATAAGATGGCACAAAACTCAGGATGGATGACTAGAGCATCTACGATCACTCCGGTAGTTCACTCAGTGGCGTTGGACCCAAACAATTCCATAGCTGAGAATGTGGCCACTCTAATGACACAAATGAGTATCCTCACCAAAAAGATTGATGAATCAGGCCAGAGGCAGCAGGTTCACATAGTTGAAACAACTAATGGGGCCTTATGTACAACATGCATTAACCAACCATATGTTTGCTTGTGGAGTGCGGAAGGTGACAACCAGCAATATCATGCAGATATGAACTATGTAGCCAACTATGGGGGACAGAGGCAAGGTGGTCTGAATTAGGGTCAACATAATCAATAATATTGACCAGCGCAACAGTAGTACAATAACAACAACAATCTTGGAGCTATGCGACCAATGGGTCAAGTTGCGCCTTACCAAAGGCAACAGAGCTACATCCAGCAAAATCAACCACTGACTTATCAACAACCTCAACAACAACAGATTATGAGACCAGAGGATGGGTTTACTAAACTTGAGGTAATGTTACAACAATTGATTGGGTCCACAGGAAAAATGCAACAGAGGGTAGACTCGCATGAATCAGCGATAAAGGGTATTGAGATTCAATTAGGACAGATTTCTATGGGCCTAAACAATCATCCCCAAGGGGCGTTACCTGCAAATACACAAGTCAATCCAAAAGAACAGGGCTCGAAACAGCTTATGGCAGTGAGTCTACGAAATGGTAGAGACCTAGATCTGGAGCAAGAGATGGCTCGTGAAAGCCGGCCTACTGAAACACTTGTGCCTATACCCATCGAGAGAGATGACTCAACAGGGTTAACAGAGGTGACGGTACAACATGCACCAGCCGAAACAAGCAAAGAAAAAGAAGTCGCGAAGGAAACTGAGTCAGAGCAAGAGAAGGCAATAGAAACAGTGCCAGAGTAGGTTCAAAATCAAACCACATTAAAGAAGCGGCCTCCAACACCCTTCCCCCAAAGATTGGCCAAATATAAAAAAGATGAGCAATATAAGAAATTCTTGGAGATGTTGAAGCAAATTCAGGTAAACATTCCATTGATTGATGCCTTAAAGGAGATGCCTGGTTATGCAAAAATGATGAAGGACTTGATGTCTAGTAAGTTCGACTTTCAAGACTTGGCCATGGTTACACTGACTCAGACATGTAGTGCTATTGTGACAAGACCCATAGCTGAGAAGTTATCTGATCCACGGAGTTTCACAATCCCATGCACAATA